CGCACGTGCGGTGAGAATGGAAGGACATCATATGACGTCCTATCAGAACGAGAGAACCACCTTGCGCCCGTCATTGTACTATATGGCGGGCGGAAGGTGGTTAATAAGACATCAAGGCTCTTCCCCTGCCCTCCAATGTAGCCAATGTAGTGAAGATCTGATATTTGTTTTACAGATGGAAGCGTCTTGAAAGCTAAACTCCCATGTGGGTGTTACCTAGGACGGTCTGCATGCAAATACAGCCTGGCTAGGAACACTCAGGCTGGCCATACACTATACAATTTTCTGTCCAATTTTTGCCCGATTTCCTTTAGATTTACCTTCAACTATGTAGTACAAGAGCCCGCCTAATTGGATACAATTGAAAGTGTTGTTTTTTTAGGTTTTGACCTCCTATTATATGGTTTTTTGTAAATCTAAAGCAAATTTCTCAAGAAAATTGTATAATGTATGGCCAGCTTTACTCTTCCAGACTGACATCCACCCATCTAGGCATTTTGATATTTGCATAACTCCTCCCAAGAGCCCGCCCATTGCTTGCATCAGGCTTGACTGCTCTTGAGAGAAAGCTATGTACAGCACCCTGCCAGCCCCCTCCACCAGGCCTTGATCTGTCTGCATAGAGATGCACAGAGACCCAGTGATGATGTTACTGGTTCTAAAATAAGAGATGTACAGAAAAGTTTTATTTAAAAATGTTATTAATATGTTGATGAGGGGGGGGGGGGGGAATCAGGAAGGAAAAAAATATGCACAAAGCACAAATATCCTTAGCTTTACTTTCACCATTTGACTCATCATTAAATCTCATCAGACTCATTAGTTCAATTATTACTTTTTTTTGAGAATAAAGATTCTTATCCCGGGTGTTAGTCTGCAATTTGAGGCTATAAAAGTACAGCTCTTGTGAGCCCTCTGCTGCGTGCCTTATATATTACTGCAGATCTGCCTGCTGATTTCATTCTGACATTTTTATTATTGTTATTATCATATTATCATCATCTTGGTGATAATAATAATACCAATATTAATAATAATATTGTATTATTATTATCACCATGATAATGATATATAACAATAATAATAAATAATAAAAAAAAAAACAACAACAATAATATTATTGTATTATTATTATCATCATTATTATTACTATTATTATTATTTTATTATTATCATTTTCATCGTGATAATAATATATACCAATATTAATAATAATAATAATAATATTGTATTATTATTATCACCATGATAATATATTATGATAATATATTAATTAATAATAATAAAAAAAAAACAACAACAATAATTATTGTATTGTATTTTATTATCATTTATTATTACTATTATTTTATTATTACTACTATATTATAATTATTTTTATATTTATTAAATTCATTTTTACTATTAATTTTTTATAATTATTTTTATTATCATTTTTTATTTAAATTTTATTATTTTACCTTTTTATATTTATTATTACCATTATTATTTTAATAATAGTTAATATTATGATAACAATAATTGATAATATAATAATAATTTTTTTTAATAATAATATTTAATATTAATAATTTTTAATAATAATTTTTTTTTTATTTAACCTAATTAATATGATAATAATAATAATAATATATTTTACTACTAATATAAAACAAAATAATATTAATAATAATATTATTAATTTTTATTACATTTTTACCCCACAAAATTTTTTTTAGAGTTACAGGAGTGACCATGGCAATTACTTTTTTTAATATTATATTAATTTTTTTTTTATTTAAAATTTTTTATTATATTTTTATATTATTTTTAAAAACCCATCACATTTTGTTTTTTTTTTATACTAATGCTTCATTTGATACAAGACTAATTAAAAATTTTTCATGGTTTATTTTTTTTAAATACTTTAAATATTTATTATATTTTATATATATATATTTATTATTATATATATATTATTATTTGTTTGTTTTTTTGTGTGTATATTATATAATAAAATTATACACATATACATTAATATATATATATTTTATAAATAATATATATTATATTTTATATTTATAATATTATATTTTTATTTACTTAAATATATTATATATATTTAATATATATATATATTATTATATAATATTATTATATAATATATATTATTATATATATATATATATTTTTACTATATATTTATTATATATTATATATATTTATTAATATTACATAATATATATATATTCTACTATATTATATATATATATTATTTTTTTTTTTATTTTACTTATTTTATTATATTATATATTATATATATATTCTACTATATATATATAATATATTGAGCATACACATTATACTCTTTTTTGAATTATTACTATTTAACCCCTTCTTAATCATACAGTTAACCCTAATTACCTCCTTCCTCCCCTAATCACCTTATGCTATTATTTTTGATGCATATTTTTTGTATTAGGTCTATTTTTTTACCAATAAGTATTATTTTTATTTTCTTTCAACCAGTTTGTTAGTTTTTCTGGATTGCATAATAAAAAATATGGAAAATTTAAAAAAAAACAAAAGCTTTATTTAAATTTGTAGATAACTCTGTACCAGAAACATTATGTTAGTGCAGGGGTGGGCAAACTTTTTGACTTGAGGGCCGCAATGGGTTCATATATTGGACCCGGGGGCCGGTCCAAATAGATGAATGATGTGTATTGTCATCCATATTATAAGTATAGTAATATTCCCCTCATAGTAAGCATAGTAATTAATCCCCCATATAGTAATTCATCCCCCAATAGTAATTCATCCCCCATAGTAATTCAAAAATATAGTAATTCAAATCCCCCATAGTAATTCAACCCCCATAGTAATTCATCCTCCATAGTAATTCATCCCCCATATAGTAATTCATCCCCCATAGTAATTCATCCCCCATATAGTAATTCATCCCCCAAATAGTAATTCATCCCCCATATATTAATTCATCCCCCATAGTAATTCATCCATATAGTAATTCATCCCCCCATAGAATTCATCCCCCATATAGTAATTCATGTAAAATAGTAATTCAAACCCCTATGTCAATTCATCCCCCATATAAATTCATCCCCCATATAGTAATTTCCCCATAGTAATTCATCCGTCCCATTAGTAATTCATCCCCAAATAGTAATTGCAGAAGAGATAAAATAATTCAGTTCATCCCCCATAGAAATTCAGTCCCCCATATAGTAATTCAATACCATTAGTAATTCATTCCCCCTATTGTAATTCATTATAATTCATTCCCCATATAAAATGCTTGATCTGTATATAGTAATTCAAAGAAACCCCCAAGTTATAAAATTTCAAAATGTTTTACAGTACCTATTCCCCCCCAGTAGTAAGCCAAGTCCCCCCCCTGTCTCAATTCACTTTACCTTTGCTCCGCATATTCCTCTCGCCGTGTATTAGCGCCGTTCCGGTCTTCAGGGCGGACTGTGAGCATTTTTAGCTCCCCTCACAGCTTTGTCACGCTTTCTGCCCCGCGTAATACAAACATCCTGACAGCCAATGTAAAACGCTCCGCAAAAGCCGGATTAAAAAGGTGCCGGGCCGTATAACTCCCGCGGGCCGTAGTTTGTCCATTATTGTTAGTGCATTTTTTAAAGAACATATTATAGAATAAATTGTATACTTTTTATTTGCAGCAAAACAATTTTTTTAAGTAAAATGTAAACATATAACCTGGGAATCATGGACACCACATCCCAAGAAGTATTATAACAATATGAAAGAATGCAAAGGTATTTTTAAGTGCCAGAAGCAGGGGCGGACTGACCATTTGGAAACCGGGCACTGCCCAAGGGCCCGGGGTCAGTAGGGGGGCCCCTTGAGATGCCCCTGGTACCTTTTTCATAGGCTTTTTTGAGTTTGGGCAAGGACACAGGGGCCCCATGATCCCCTATTGCCCGGGGGCCCCATGAGTTGTCAGTCCGCCCCTGGCCAGAAGTCACACTCCTAACCTCCTGAGGAAGCAAATGATTGGCAAAACATGTTGATTTGAAGTTACGACATGTCTATTCAAGCCACGTAGATATCTCTTCATGGTTTTTAAAAACCTAACAACCACATAAAAGTTGTTTTTTTACAATGTTTATTTTGTAACAAAATGTAGGATTTTGTTACTTGTGTGATTTGTGGCACCTAAAAATCCCTTTGCCTTCTTTCATATTTCTACATTTATTCTTCTTTTTTTCATATCAAAAAATAAAAATGCACTTTTTCATGAATAGATGAAATAGGAAATAAAATAATTTTTGGTAGACATTATTGCCAAAATAAAGCCTATCCCACCCCACTCCCACCCCCCCAAAAAAATTGTATGTGTTACTTTGTAAACTAAGTAATGAAAATGTTATCGCCAAAATAACAGACCCACAGTGAAAATGGAAACTTTGCTCTGCTCCAAAGGGGGGGGGGGGGGGGTTGGGGGGGAATCCAACCTGTGTTGGGGGTTTCACTCACCTCCTTATCAGGGTTAATTAATACAGTATTAGACTGAGGAGAGTCTTAGGGGAATAGAAATGGTAAAGTATACATTGTAAAAGGTGTCAGGTAAGTGTTTTGGATGGGAGTGGGAAGTACTGCAGGGAATACATTAAGATAAAAAATACCTAAATTATTACATTCTTTCATAAGATGGACTGTGCTTTAAGGTGTGTATATCTATTTTTTTTTTTTTAATTGTATGAGGCAGTTGGGGGTTGAGGTTTGCAAAAATGGGCATTATCTGGCATAAAGTAAACCAACAGTATACAGAGTTTTTTTTTATTTTTTTAGGAATATTTAGGAATATTTTTAACTGCTGATAATATTTAAACCACTAATGGTAAATACAAAGTATTCCTTTAATCATTATTATTATTATACAGTATTTATTAGCGCCAGGGTTTGCTCAGCGCTGTACAATAGGAAGGGGGACAGAACATAACAAGACAGTAACAATACAGTTTACAATCTAGGAGATTATTCTAATTCAAGAGTATTGTTAATAATATTGCACATATTTGTTGCAAGCCAACATCACATCAGACCGAATTTAGCTAGAAAACAAAAAGATGACCTTAGTATTTGCCTCCACCACCAGTACAATATCCTCAATCCGAATACCAAAATATCCATCATGGTAGTAGCCCGGTTCTAGAGAGAGGGAATCGTAAAGAAAAGAAGAGAGGGTCAAGGTGTGTCTTCAAGATTTTTCTGGGCATAACATACTTACAGTTAATTGACATGGCTATACGATCAATGACTGCTTGATTAAAAAAAAAATTATTATTATTATTATTATTATTATTAATAATAATAATAATTTTAAATAAATAAATTATATATATATATACACACACACATAATATATATATACACACACACATTATATATATATATATATATATATATATATATATATATATATATATATATGGGGATATCGAAAGTTTGGGCACACAGCTAAAAATTTATATAATATGCATAAAGAAGCCAAGGATTTATGGAAAAATCTATAAAATATCAAATACATATTATACATTCTTAAAGACATGCTGGTCAGTTAATTTCTCTTTTCTTGCCTAATTGGTCCTAGTCAGGGCTCTTCAAAATGACATGGGCACACCTGGCACTTCTTCAAAAGTGCATGGGGTGGGCACACGGTCAGCCAGAAAAAGGGGGGGGGGGGTGAGCGCCTTTGGGGCTGTGACCTGCCAGTGGCGATTTGGCCTTTCATGCCGCACTTCGACAGGAAGTACCTGCAATGTCACTCAAAGGTTTTTAAATGTCGCTGGCTTCATGCTGGAGAGAGGACTCCAAGCTTCCTCCTCCATCCTGCTAGGCAGTGGCAGAAGAGAACCGGAAACTGAAAATAGTGAGAACTCACTCAGTCTCAGCATGGAAGAGGAAGGAGGAGCTACTTTCATTGCAGGTGTCAAAGGCATTTGTTCGATCTGTGTGTATAAGGGGGCAAAGGGGAGTTAAAGCAGATCTGGCAGCACAACTCTGATGGATGGGGACACTGCAATGGGGACACATGATGGGGACACCTGATGTAAGGGAAAACTGTGATGGGGGACACGATGTACAGGGGAAGATCTGTGATAGGGGAACCTGATGTATGTGGGACACCTGATGTAAGGGAAACCTGTGATGGGGGATACCTGATGTACGAGGACTCTGTGATAGGGGAAAACCTGATGTATGGGGACACCTGATGTAAGGGAAAACTGTGATGGGGGAACCTGATGTACGAGGACTCTGTGATAGGGGAACCTGATGTATGGGGACACCTGAAGTAAGGGAAAACTGTGATGGGGAACACCTGGTTGTACGGGGATTCTGTGATAGGGGAACCTGATGTATGGGGACACCTGATGTAAGGGAAAGCCGTGATGGGGAACACCTGATGTACGAGGACTCTGTGATAGGAAAACCTGATGTATGGGGACACCTGATGTAAGGGAAAGCCGTGATGGGGAACACCTGATGTACGAGGACTCTGTGATAGGAAAACCTGATGTATGGGGAACACCTGATGTAAGGGAAAACTGTGATGGGGGATACCTGATGTACGAGCACTCTGTGATAGGGGAACCTGATGTATGGGGACACCTGATGAAGGGAAAGCCGTGATGGGGAACACCTGATGTACGGGGACTCTGTGATAGGAGAACCTGATGTATGGGGGACACACTGATGTAAGGGAATCCTGTGATGGGGGATTACCTGATGTACGAGGTAAACTGATAGGGGAACCTGATGTATGGGGACACCTGATGTAAGGGAAAACTGTGATGGGGGATACCTGATGTACGAGGACTCTGTGATAGGGGAACCTGATGTATGGGGACACCTGATGTATGGGAAAGACCTAAGGGAAAGCCGTGATGGGGAACACCTGATGTACGGTGACTCTGCGATAGGAAAAACCAAGAATGATGTATGGGGACACCTGAAGTAAGGGAAAACTGTGATGGGGAACACCTGTGTACGGGGATACTGTTGGGGAACCTGATGTATGGGGACACCTGATGTAAGGGAAAGCCTGATGGGGAACACTGATGTACGAGGACTCTGTGATAGGAAAACCTGATGTATTTTGGGGACACCTGATGTAAGGGAAAACTGTGATGGGGGACACCTGATGTACGAGGAATCTGTGAATCTGGGAACCTGATGTATGGGGACACCTGATGTTTTCTTGGCTCCGTGATGGGGATACACCTGATGTAGCTGGGTGCCTCTGTGATAGGGAAACCTGATGTATGGGGACACCTGATGTAAGGGAAACCTGTGATGGGGAACACCTGATGTACGAGGACTCTGTGATAGGAAAACCTGATGTAATATATACAACCTGATGTAAGGGAAAACTGTGATGATCCCCACTGATACCTGATGTACGAGGACTCTGTGATAGGAAAAAACCTGATGTATGGGGACACCTGATGTATAGGGGAAAACTGTGATTGGGGGATTGTCCTTTTCTGCCTACGATTGGACTCTGTGATCAGGGCTCCTGATGAATGGGCACACCTGGCACTTCACAGGGAAAGCCAGTGCATGGGGGGGGCACCTGATGTACGGTGACAGGGCCAGAAAAAGATGGGGGAGCGCTGAAGTAAGGGAAAACTGGGGGGTGCACTGGCAATTTGGCCTTTCTGGGGCTCTTCTGATAGGGGAACCTGCAATGGGGACTCCCTGTTGTAAGGGGGCAGTGGCTGGGGACTGTCTGGTAGAGGCTCCAGTGCATTCCTTTGCCCAAGGGCCCATGATGCTGAAGAGATGACACTGGCCCTGAGAACTCACTCAGTATGCATGTATATGCGATAGAGGCTAAATTTCAGCACTGGCATAAATTGTGATGGCGCTATACAAATACCTGTAATAAATAATGAAAGAAAAAAAAAACTTATATATATATATATATATATATATATTATATACTGTATATATACATACACACACACACACACACATATATATATAGGGACAGTTGCAAGAAAACCTGTATGTGAACCCCTTGGGATTACGTGGAGTTTTTGCATGAATTGGGGACATAAAATGTGGAACCTCATCTATGGGGACACAACAAAGAAGAAACAGTCTGCTGAACATAATACTACACAAACATCTGTGTTGCCATGGTTTAATTGCACATAACATGTAAACATTCACAGTGCAGGGAGGAAAAAGTATGGGGAACCCTAGCTTAATGGGACTCTGTGAGAGCTAATTGGAGCTGATGTAGTGAGCCACCTGACTGTAAGTGTGAAATATTGTGATGTGGGATTGCTGACAGCTGTCCTGCCCTTAAAAAACACACACCTGTTGTTGGGGTTTACTGGTTTCAAGAAGCACTGTCTGATGTGAACCATGCCTCGCAGAAAAGAGCTCTCAGAAGGGACCTACGATCAAGAATTGTTGACTTGCATGAAGCTGGAAAGGGTTACAAAAGTATCTCCAAAAGCCTTGATGTTCATGTGTCCACGGTAAGACAGACTGTCTACAAATGGAGAAAGTTTTTGTAGCACTGTTGCTACTCTGTGATAGGGGTCCTCCTGTAAAAATGACTGGGGAGCACATGTACGCAGGAAAATGCTGCATGAGGAAAGAAGGGGCCCCCTGATGTCAGCTAAAGACCTACAGAAATCTCTGGCACATGCTAACATATGGGGACACCTGAATAAGGGAAAACATTGATGGGGAAGATCTGAGTACATGGGGGACACTGTGATAGGGGAACCATTGTATGGGAAAAGAACCTGATGTAAGGGAAAAACCGTGAAAAGAGCACCTGATGTTCCACAGCACTACTGGCAGAATATACTGTGGACAGATGAAACCTGATGTAAGGGAAGAAACAACACTATGTGTGGAGAAAAAAAAGATGCACAGCACACCAACATCAAAACCTCATCCCCAGGAAAACTGTAAAACATGGCGTAGGGAGCATCATGGTTTGGGAAAACTGCTTTGGGCCTGATTGTGGGGGATTGTTGTCATGATGGGAAATCTGATGTAATTCCAGGTTTACAAGACATGTAGGAAAACTGTGATGGGGACAACTGAAGCTTCGCAGAGGATGGGTGATGCAACAGGACAATGACCCAAAGCATACAAGTAATTCAACAAAACAATGGCTGCAACAGCACAGAATATGCCTTCTGGAGTGGCCCAGTCAGAGTCCTGGGAACCCCCGATTGAAATGCTGTGGCATGACCTTAAGATGGCGCTTCACACCAGACATCACCTGAATATTGCTACACTGAAACATTTTGATAAGAGGAGTTGTCCAAATGACTCCAGATCATTGTGCAGGTCTGATCTGCAACTACAGGAAACGTTTGGGGAACACCTGGTTGTTATTGCTTCCAAAGGATAGGGTCAACCTGTTATTAAGTCCAAAGGTTCACATACCGACTTTTTCCTCCCTGCACTGTGAATGTTTACTGTTATGTGCAATTAAACCATGGCAACATCTAATGTTTGTGTAATATTATGTTCAGCAGACTGTGTTCTTCTATTGTTGTGACTTAGATGACGTTCAGAGCACATTTTATGCCCAATTCATGCAAAAATCCACGTAATCCCAAGGGGGTTCACATACTTTTTCTATACAACTGTATATATATATATAAATATGATATATCTTCAATTGCTTCTTTGTTGTGAGAGCTGTTGATAGCGTAGTTCTACCTCTAAGTTGCACCGAGGCTTGTGCACAGCAACCAAGTAAAGTCAACTAAAGGTGGAAGGGCAAAGTCTGAAATCCAGTTGAATTTTATGTAAGTGTAACAAAGATCCCTGTGTGAGTCTAGATGTCTCATTGCTTTCTAGTCATCACAGAATAGACTTGTTTAATGAAATAAGACAATCAAATGTAAAAATAATACCAATTGATGAGAACATTCCTTTGGTCAATGCGATATTGCTGGACTGAAATGACCTTTTTGGTAAGCCCTGGAGAAGAAAATAATGATATACTGTAGGTAAAATCATTTACACCTGACGTATTTTTGCAAAGGTAAGCTTCTGGGAAGAGACTTTAGACATGCTTCTGACTGAGCCCTCACAAAGAGCATTTGTGAGGTCAGATACTGATGTCGGATGAGAAGACCTGGCTTGCAATGGACGTAGGGGCAGGACTCCATGAAGGCTACTCAGGTTCCTCCACACACCAAAATCATCAAACCATGTCTTTATGGGGCTGGCATGTGTAGAGGGGCACATTCATACTGGAACAAAAAAGAGCCTTCAACAAAGTATAGTTAGCCCACCGATGTCTATAGAGTTCAACCAATAGAAAAAATATAAACTAAAAACCTGCAAGGATAGAAGAACCCTAACCCACACTTGATCCTGAGGAAACATAAAAAAATCCCTTGTAATGCAGGGTCCAATTATCTCTAACAGGTAATAAAATTCCTTGCTTTCCTTCCTACACTATATTGCCAAAAATATTGGAACGCCATGGAATTCCAGTCTTCGTCCGTAGGGTTCAATATTGAATTGGCCCGCTCTTTGCAGCTATAACAGCTTCAATTCTTCTGGGAAGGCCATGCACAAGGTTTAGGAGGGTGTCTATGAGAAGGTTGGACCATTCTTCCAGAAGCACATTTGTCAGGTGAGGCCCTGATGTCAGGGGAGAAGGCCTGGCTCGCAGTCTCTCTATTCATCCCAAAGGTGTTCCAAAGGTTGAAGTCAGGACTCTGTGCAGGACAGTCAAGTTCCTCCACCCCAATCTTGCTCATCCATGTCTTTATGGACCTTGCTTTGTGCACTGGTGCACAGTCATGTTGATTGCCAACAGAGAAGGGGATTGGGAGAACGGTCTCCACTGACAAGTCATGGGGCCCACCACGGCATCCGACACAGGGTGATCAAGGGGATGCAGCTGCTCGGCCCATGGAAACCCATTCCATGAAGCTCTCTACGCACTGTTGTTGCGCTCATCTGAAGGTACCAAGTTTGCAGGTCTCATGGGGCCCCCTACTGACCCAGACAGTTGGCCCTCTGGCACTGTGCCCATGCGCTTTCCAAATGGTCAGTGACGTCCGCCCACTGGTGGCTGAGTGGCTGTTGTTCCATTGCCCACTTTGTTACTAATTCCACTAACAGTTGGGAACATGAAATTGTCCAGGAAATGTCACGGTATGGACTGACGCCTTAAAAGTTCCCCTATCACTGGACCACGGGCTAATGGGCCAAGCTCCAACCCCATGAAAAACAGTCTGCATGCCTAGGGGCTTTAATACACCCCATGGAGGGGATTGGAAACCTGAATCACATGATTTGGAGGGCGGGGCCAAATACTTTTGCCAAAAAAATACAGCCAGAATGTGGCGGAACGCTATTTGAAGCTTCTGTGTTTACAAGGGACAGCTTTGCTCTCAAGAGTCTCCCGGATCTAACAGATCTGACACATTCATACGGGGACAGATCACCAAAATCTGATAGAGAAAACAATCTCTCTGCAAGGTGAGGCAGAGCTGCCTACACAGGGAAATACTAGAGCCGGGCCAGGTAGGAGAAGTAGCACTCCTGGGGGGGTGGAGTTGGGGTTGCACTCTGTGCACAGAGCATCCCTGAACCCTGAACTCTGTACACAGCACATCCCTGAACTCTGCACTGTACATAGTGTACTCCTGAACTCTGCAATCTGTAAGTAATGCACTCCTGAACCCTGTACTCTCACAGAACACTCCTTGTACCTGAACTCTGCACTGTACATTGTGTACTCTTGAACTCTGCGTTCTAAGTAATATACTCCTGAACCTTGTACTCTGTGCATAGTGCATTCCTGAACTTTGCATTCTGTACGTAGCACACCCCTAAATCCTGCATTCTGTGCACAGCGCACCCCTATACCCCACACTCTGTACATAGCACACTCCTAAACCCTGCACTCTGTACATAGGTCACCCCTAAACCCTGCACTCTGTACATAGGTGACACCCATAAACTCTGCACTCTGTATGTAGTGCACTCTGTATGTAGTGCCCCAGATACAACCTGCCCTTTGAGGGCAACCATACTGCTGATGTGGCCCGCAATGAAATTGAAATTGAGTTTAACACCCCTGCCCTAAGGCCATTGTTTACTGTATGGATCATCATAAGTCTATGGTATTATTACTTCCACCATACATGTATTCAAACAACATGAACCTATTCCTCCATCTTCATCTCAACAAAGAAAAAAATCAGTTAAGTTAATCTTTTCTTCATAATCTGTAATACTCACCTTTCCTGGTATTCAGCTCTGGGTCTTTTCCTATTGCCATGGGCAAACACGAGCCAGCTCTCCTGATTGGCATTGGCTTAACCACTGGCTTACATGTACATGATTGACTGCAAGTGGTTATACTGAGGGTATGGCTGCAGCTGTCAGCCATAACCCCAGTATTTTGCTTAGAGCAGACAAAACCCTACAAAGTAAAAGCAATCCTAGGGGCTAATTGGCCCCTGGATTGCTTTTACAGGTGGCGGAAGGGGGATCCACTCCCTCCTGCCTCTCTCCGGTGCCTCTCTTTACTCTTCCGTTCCAGCATCCAACCCGGCGATTGGGCCGGCTTACAAAAGAGGTGACTGGAGACTGGATTGTCTTTTGATCAACTCTATGGTCAAGGAGACTGGAAGCGATGTGTGGTTTTGCCGCTTCCGGTTTCCCCAGGTTTAAACAGAGCCATTGATGAATAATAAAAGCATCTGATCACACCATTCTTGATGTGACCAGTTGCTTTTTAAGGGCAGAAGAGACATCTGTGCACCTCCATGTCTTCAAGTGCACTCCTTTGCCTCCATGGCATGTGCCTTTCCTTTGCTGGCCCCTGGGATCCAACCATTCCCCCATTGGGCAGAGCCATCTTAACTCTAACATGGCTTAGAGTAGTGCAGTCAGGCTGTCAATCACAACCCCCCCCTCAAAGACACCTCTGCCGTTCTTGTTACGGTCATGTATCACTTGTCTCTCCTGAGGTAAGTGGCCAGAGGGAGAAGTTGGAGATGGAGATGAGAAAAGTTCAGTTTCATACAAAAAATTCTTGACTTTATATTGGTTGACTTACACTCATGAACCGCAAAAAAGTTTCCTATTCCATGTCCAGTTCCATGTCCATAATTCAGTCCCGCCTTCCATAGGGCTTCCCTGGCAAACGCTTCTACAAGTCTTCCTGATGGAAACATGACATTACTATTAGAAATCTGATATAGTATCTAATGCCGAGATCAGACACTCTCAGCTTAACTTTATTAAGTTGTAAAGATATTTAGATGATGGCTTAAAGGTGTAGCGCTGGCCCCCGAGAGGGCCCACTGATTTGCCACAGGTTCCTCTCTCAAATTAGTGCAGTTGTAGCCAGGCACACAGCAACAGTCACTCCTCCTGGCTCAATGAGCAGTCCAGGGTTTGCCTTTTTGAAATTTATTTCTGAATATACTGAATACGTAGATGGGGCACAGGGAGCTGTGGGATACTCTAGTAACCAGGGGCGGACTGACAACTCATGGGGCCCCCGGGCAATAGGGGATCATGGGGCCCCTGTGTCCTTGCCTAAACTCAAAAAAGCCTATTAAAAAGGTACCAGGGGCATCTCATGGGGCCCCCTACTGACCCTGGACCTTCGGGCAGTGCCCGAGTTTCCAAATGGTCAGTCCGCCCCTGCTAGTAATACTTTACTTTGTCACTACTTCTTAGAACAGATCCTTTGGTAGAAAACAAGGGGATGGGCAGCATTGAGACATCCTAATGTAGTGCTACCCCCACAGGAGCCGCTGAGTTTTGTTTTGGTCCCCCTAAGTGGAGCAGGGCCAAGCAACACACATTTTGCACATCTTCACACAAAGTTAAGTCAGTGAGTCAGTAAAACAGCCCTTGAGCTTGTTTTTGTGGCTTTTATTAGGGCTTGATAACTTGGATGGGGTATAGTGGTATATGGGATGCCCAAAGAACAGTTAAACTTGAGGACAAACTTCTTTGCAACCTTTACACTGTACAAAAATTGGATCAGAAATACAGCACAGTCTCTTTAAGGAGCACTGAAGTCCCCTTTGGTCGTTTGGTGTACCTCCTCAGACCCCAGAGGTTATCCCTGGGCAAGGGAATCCAAGGTCTGGCAATTAAGTAGTCCTGGATGAGAACTAGTTGGGTCTTGCACCTAACCACTTTTTCCCTTTATCTGGCCCAGGGGATGTAGAAGTACTAGCACTGTCCTGTTAGCTTGGTGGGTTGTGGCTGCTTTCGGGCCTTACGCTGGGCTGGCTCCTTCCTGGATGTACAGGATGTCCTCCCTAGGAGACATGCAACAGTGGAGATCCCCCTGTCCCGCAACCAGCCTGTAGGTAGGCTTCCTTTCCTGGGGCCCCCTCCCAGGCTCCACACTCCAGTCTTCTCTTCACCTGACTCCTCTGCTGCACAGGCTCTGCCATATTTAAGGGTTGCCCTTGGCCACTATGCCCAGCCTCTGCCTGAGGATTGGCCAAGTTCCCTGGGCCTCCTCCCCTCCTCCGGCCCTCTTCCAGAAAGTTCAAGCAGTTTCTGGAAGAGTGGGAGGGCTCCAGAAGCCCTGACCTGTAGAGCCTCCCAGCTTGTCCTGAGGTGAACCAATTACCTCACTCCCAGGCTGACTCATCCCAGGCTGCTACTCAGCCTCTGACTAGCAAAAATAACAAAGCTTGTTACTAAAGGACCCTACATCAAGAAATGTCCCAGTCCATGCACGTACTATCACCTATGCACAAAGTAGGCGCAACAGTCACTACACTCAGGTCAGTACTCACAATGTCCCTTTCTAAGCAGGTGCAGTCTACTTTCTGCGCGGCAAGTGGAGCTCTACCGCAGCGGCCCTGTTGTTACAGAGGCAGTCAAAAGGAACAGGGTTCCTGTATGGTTTCCTGGGTCACTGGGGAAGCTATCCTATTGGATGCTGCCGGCCGATGTGACTCTAGCAGCCATCTTGGGTCAGGCAGAGCTTATTTAAGGCCCTGGCTCCCGGGCTTGGTGCGCTTTTTGCAATTTTATAAAGCAGGGACAGGTATCCCATTTGTTAGGGACAGCAATGGCGGTAAAGGAAAGGTTCCTGAGTAGGAGGGAAGGTGTAGGGATGCATCTCTTTTGGACCTCTTCAGATCTGGGAACAAGATGGCAAGGCCATATTGTGCTCTCTTAACAGACACTGTCAGTCCGGCTGATAGCTGCTCTCTTCACATTACTGGAAAATGTGAGGGCAGCCGGTTGGGCACTTTTCCCACCAAGTTCGTTGTGAACTGTTGCTGTTTTATTTCATTACAAGTTCTTCACTACACCTGACTGTGTGAATTGTTCTTGTTGCACCACACTGCACCCCACCTACACCTGGGGATACCTCCTTCCAATATCAACCTGACTTTTCTCCTGAGAACTCTCTAGATCAGATGCTCCTTAATTAGTTCCTGATATTTCAGCAAAACAGGCCCCAACAAGCTCTAGCATAGCTGGGACTTTGATGAGCACATGTGGAACTTCAGCTGGGCTGCTAAGGTACCCCTACCACACTAGGGGTAGTGGGGATGGTGGGAAATGTGAACATAACTGCAAACCAGTTTGGGTCATGTTATCCAAAACAGGTCTGCATCACCGCTTATGTTATATTAACATTTTACATGTTTTTTTAAACTTTGACTGGAGATATGACCTGCAGTCACGGCGGAGTTACATTGACTCAGCACTCTGATGTAATTCTGTGGTGACTTCAAGCCATGTGACCATGAATTGGTACGTCACAAAACCTCCTCATTACAGTTAAATGAGCAAACATTAAGCGTTAGATCCTTTTTATTGCCCATGTGAACTTACCCGATGTTTGTGGTGGGAATACAAGTCTACTCAGTTCAATATTCCCCATCAGGACCCGAGTGTAAGTTTCCTAGAAGATAAAAGTTAGACAATAAACTCAATATAACAAGCATCCCTGCACTGCGTCTTTAATCCTGTAGCTTTCTAGAAGCCGAGGGGGCTATGTGTTCCTTTGAGCAGTGACTACTGTAATTTCAAAGAAACAATGAGGCATGCTTGCTAAAAGAAAAAAATATATATATATACACACTGCTCAAAAAAATGAAAGGAACATTTTGAAAACACAGCAGATCTCAATGGGAAAAAATCTCCTGCTGGATCTCTATACTGATATGAACGGGGTAATGTGTTAGGTACATAGGGACAACCCATCGTTTGATGGAAATGAAAATTATCAACCTACAGAGTGCTGAATTCAGACACCCCGAAAATCAAAGTGAAAAAACAATGCAGCAACTCAAAATTGTACTCAGTAGTTTGTATGCATGCTCCTAATGAGACGATGGATGGTGTCCTAGGGGATTTCCTCCCAGATCTGGACCAGGGCTTCACTGAACTCCTGGACAGTCTGAGGTGCAACCTAGTGGCATTGGATGGACCAAAACATGATATCCCAGAGGGTTCTATTGGATTTAGGTCAGGCAAGTGTGGGGGCCATTCAATGGTATTAGTTCCTTCATTCTCCAGGAACTGCCTGCATACTCTCGTCACATGAGGCCGGGCATTGTCTGCACCAGGAGGAACCCAGGACCCACTGCACCATGTGGAACCCAGGACCACCTGCACCAGGAGGAACTCAGGACCCACTGCACCAGGAGGAACCCAGGACCCACTGCACCAGGAGGAACCCAGGACCCACTGCACCAGGAGGAACCCAGGACCCACTGCACCAGGAGGAACTCAGGACCCACTGCACCAGGAGGAACCCAGGAGCCACTGCACCAGGAGGAACCCAGGACCCACTGCACCAGCGTAGGGTCTGACAATGGGTCCCAGGATTTCATCCCGATACCAAATGGCAATCATTGTGCCATTGTCTAGCCTGTAGAGGTCTGTGCGTCCCTCCATGGATATGCCTCCCCAGACCATCACTGACCCACCACCAAAACGGTCATACTGAACCATGTTACAGGCAGCAGAACGTTCTCCACGGCTTCTCCAGACCCTTTCACGTCTGTCACATGTGCTCAGGGTGAACCTGCTCTCATCTGTGAAAGGCACAGGATGTCAGTGGTGGATCTGCCAATTCTGGGGTTCAATGGCAAATGCTAATCGAGTTCTATGGTGCCAGGCAGTGAGCACAGGGCCCACTAGAGGATGTCAGGCCCTCAAGCCACCCTCATGAAGTCTGTTTCTGATTGTTTGGTCAGAGACATTCACACCAGTGGCCTGCTGGAGGTCATTTTGTAGGGCTCTGGCAGTGCTCATCCTGGTCCTCCTTGCACAAAGGAGCAGATACCGGTCCTGCTGATGGGTTAAGGAATTTCTATGGTCCTGTCTGACTCTCCTAGAGGAACTGCCTGTCTCCTGGAATCTCCTCCATGCTCTTGAGACTGTGCTGGGAGACACAGCAAACCTTCTGGCAATGGCACGTATTGATGTGCAATCCTGGAGGAGTTGGACTGCCTGTGCAACCTCTGTAGGGTCCAGGTATGGCCTCATGCTACCAGTAGTGACACTGACCCTAACCAAAATGCAAAACTAGTGAAAAAAACAGTCAGAAAAGATGAGTAGGGAAAAAAATGTCACCTGTAAACCATTCCTGTTTTGGGAGTCGTCTCATTGTTGCCCATCAAGTGCACCTGTTTAAATTTCATTAACACCAAAGCAGCTGAAACTGATTAACAACCCCCTCTGCTACTTAAAGGATAAGTTCACATTTGGACAAAATAATAAATACACATTTTTTTGCAGGTAAAAAAATGTGCATTTATCTTGCAACCCATAGTGATCCGTGGGATCAGCTTCAGTTTTTGCAGCCTGTAAGGGGTTAGCTGTGGCAGCTCTGTGCTAAAGTCGGAGTTCGGCTTCTTCGGCCTGAAACCGGCACATGCGCAGTTGCTTCAGGGATACATATCTTCACGGTCTGGATACTCATTTACAGCTACACCAGCACCGCTCCTTCCTCTCTGGAGGGGTGACACCACGTGTTACCGCACCGGGTGACACCAACCCTAGGGATGCCTCTGCATCTGGGTGCCCACACTTAAGATGCCGGGGAGAGAGAGACGGCCGGTGAAACCGGCTGCGGTAAGGACACCGAGGGACCGAGGGACAGGTGAGTGACTGTCTTTAAAAGTCAGCAGCTACAGTTTTTGTAGCTACTGACTTTTATTTTTTTTTCAATTTTGACTGCAGCTCTGCTTTAATAAGTCCTTTAGTGTCCCTGGTCAGGTTTTTTTGGCCCCATTATCTCATTAGGCAGGATGCCAGGAGCTTCCCAAAACCATTCTTTATCATTTGGCATTGTTTGCCGCTCTGTAGTGCACACTTTTTCAGAGCCCAATATATTAATGGGGCTTCAAGGTCTAATTCCAAATTTTGGAGTTTTGCGAATTTTGGTCAAACTACAGTTAATCAAACTTTTATTTCTCCAGGTGTACCTCGGTTTACAAATGAAAATTCATTGAAAATAATGCCTTGGTTACAAATTTTTTTCGCAATACGAAGTGTATCTCAGTGCAGATTTTTAAATGCAATTTCCGGCTTTTTTTTTTCTTCACTATGGCTCACAGAATTAGCTGTCATTTTCCCTGAGCTAAAGGATACTTTGTTTCTTTTATCTCGGGAAACAAACTAAAAGGAAACATTTTTTTTTTTATCTCTCGGAAACAAACTAAAAGGAAAACATTGTTTTTTTTTTATCTCGGGAAACAAACTAAAAGGAAACATTAGTTTTTTTTATCTCGGGAAACAAACTAAAAGGAAACATTGTTTTTTTTTATCTCGGGAAACAAACTAAAAGGAAACATTGTTTTTTTTATTTCAGGAAACAAACTAAAAGGAAACATTGGGGTTTTTTTATCTCGGGAAACAAACTAAAAGGAAACATTGTTTTTTTATTTCGGGGAAACAAACTAAAAGGAAACATTGTTTCTTTTAGCTGGGGGGAAAGTGACAGCTTATTCTGTGAGCTATAGTGAAGGAAAAAAAAAGCCAGAAATTACATTTAAAAACCGGCACTGACCTATACTGACAGTGACTTTTTCTTTAACTTTTTTCTGACCTCCGGAATGGATTAATTGTTTTTCAATGCATTCCTATGGGAAACCACATTTCGGTTTATGAATTTTTCGCAATACGAAACGTCCCGGAGAACACATTAAATTCATAAACCGAGGTACACCTGTATTTTTTTAACCGTAAACCAAACTTAAACAGTGCCAATTTTTATATCTTTATGGCCCCTTTCAGGTGGACCCGATTGATCCATCCATAGACTTCTATGGCCGGCATCCGATCCTGTACACCAAAAACAAGCGGTTGGGGATCCGTTCCCCATATGTCCAGCGGATTGGATGACAATTGGGTGGAAATGGACAGATGTTCCATTTGCATCCAGCTGTCCCATTGAAATCAGCTGGCAGTGTCTGCTCTACAGCAGACCTGTCATCCGCCTGCTCAGTGGGGATCAGCGGAGAGATTCCCCACTGAGCAGGTGGATCACGCTAACACATCCACCCCATCTGAAAGGGGCCTGTGGGAAACATGTTTTGATATATTTTTGGCTATATAAACCAAAGAATTGCAGTTCAACCCTTTACATCGTCACTGTCTGAGAACTTCTCTGACCATGGAATAGTTGACTTGCTGGCCGTGTTGAATAGACATACTTTTTCAAAAGCAGTAGGTTTCCCCCAGTGAACGGTTCTTGTAATGTCAGTCGTTCCATCACTATAAAACAATAAATATTAGCCTAGTTTACAGTGGAACTTTACCCATAACAATATCTTTAGCAAGGAATAGACTGTACATTCCACATTAATAATCATGTTACCAAAACAGGGGTGACTGACAACTCATGGGGCCCCTGGGCAACAGGGATCATGGGGCCCGTGTCCTTGCCCAAAACTCAAAAAAGCCTATGAAAAAGGTACCAGGGGCATCTCATGGGGCCCCCTACTGACCCGGGGCCCTCAGGCAGTGCCGAGTTTCTAAATGGTCAGTCCGCCCCTGTACCAAAATTAGTGTGTGCTGTAAATTGCCTCCAGCATAGCTCCTGTTTCTTCTTGCTGGAAGCTGCCATTTTGCTAAAGTCTGGAGCCCCTGAGCAGCAGTAAATCTTTAGGCCTCATGTACACTGATGCTCCTAAACATGAGTTTAGGAGCTTTTGGTATTTTTTTTTGCCAAATCCCCTGAACTCACCTCAACAAAAGCCAATGTGTCCATGTACACATAGGCTTTTACCAAAGTTTAGGAGCAGCAGAATTTAGGGGCAGTTAAACGTTCCTCTTCTGAATGCAGAATAATCACGTTCAGGGGAGGAACATTTTGGCCAAAAAATGCTAATCACAGCAAAACCGTGTGTAAATGTGACTAAACGCATCAAAACGTGGCTAAACACTAGCCGCTCTTGGGCATTTATCCATGTCAATGGAAAATACTCTGGCCAATCAAATGAATAAACATCCAAGTGCTAAACGTGGCTAAACACAGCTAAACGCAGTACTACATTTATTTGCGTTTCTGCCGCATTTAGCATTTTTCTGCTGCCAGGAGAGTTTAACGACTAGGGGAGTTCATGTGTACATGAGGCCCTGTCAGCTGATCAGCCTCTAGTGGCTCTAATCTTTCGGCACAGCGCCAAAATTTAGAGAGTAACTGAGCATGCCCACATGGAAGAAAAATATATGTGAAAAATATTTTAAAAATATTCTTCCCATATATATTGACATATATTTAAAATGCTACAATTTTGGCCGTATTCAATATATTTCAAAAAAATAAATATATATATATTGTGGCAGTGCGGTATCCTGCCACGGTGGAAATCACAGTGGTGACCCAGGATTCTCAACCATACAGGTTGAGGGGCTCCAGGCAGATCTCCTAATGCAGAGGAAACTGGTTTATCAGTTTCCTCTTTGGTTGGTAAAGCCTGTTTTGGGACCTGTAGCCTGGAGATTTCTAAGAGAATTGGGAGGGATGAAATCTCCAATCCTGGGCCCATATTTTGGGAGCAGCCAGCGTGCTGATTGCACAGGTGTGTGCAGGCCTTTTAGGGGAAGCCAGGCCATGATTCTGGGCTCCACCCCGGCAGATAGTAGTCAGGCGGCTCCACCCCGGCAGACAGGAGGTCTCTGCCGTGGAGTCATGGTGGGCTACACCTAGGAGAGGTGGAAGCCAGACTAGCTGTGTGCTAGTGCCATACTTTGGGAAGAGTCTGCAGGAGGCAGACTTAAAACTGCGTACAAGCCAGGAGGCTGAATATTATTTGAATTCGTGTGATGGTGGATACCCCTGCGTGGGAAATCTTTGTTATTGAACTGTCATTTAAATAAAAGTGGGCAAACAGGCCCTTAAAAAATAAGCGAGTTGCCGTGTGCTTTGAAGAAGCTCTACCACTTGAAGCGAGTTCCCACAATATATACATATATCTATATATATAATCTATCTATCTATCTATCTATTTATATATATATATATATATATATATATATATATATATATACTGCATGTTCAAATGCTTTTTTATTACAACATATATGAAAACATTTTTTAAAAATACATGTAAAATATACTGTATGTTTTTAAGAATACAAATCTACATTTTTGGAATGCATTTACAAATATATGTAAAAAAAATATGTAAAAATTACTTTTTTATATGTTAAAAGAAATCTGAAGAATATATTTAAATATATTTCTATATATATTTAGTATATATTTGTAAAATATTTTGTAATAAAAATGCATTTCAACATGCAGTATATATGTATAAATGTATATCTATATACAACCTTTGATCCCTCGGTGGACGGTTCTACTACGGAGGTCGATTTATCCACCTGTTCTGGATCTAGGGCTCTGCGCGCTGGAGATGTTCTCTTTAGTGCAGGGGCGGACTGACAACTCATGGGGCCCCTGGGCAATAGGGGATCATGGGGCCCCTGTGTCCTTGCCCAAACTCAAAAAAGCCTATGAAAACGATACCAGGGGCATCTCATGGGGCCCAATACTGACCCCGGGCCCTTGGGCAGTGCCTGAGTTTCCAAATGGTCAGTCCGCCCCTGCTTGAGTGTCACAAGTGTACCAAGTTCTTTCCATTTTTAATAATGGGTTGAATGGTACTCCAAGGGTACATATCTTTTTAACCCAACCCTGATTGGGGCTTCTCCATATCTTATTTCAGGGTTGTTTACAAAGATCTTTGGTCTTCATGATGCTATCAAGTCAGTTTCTACTACATTTGTGAGTACACATCTTATTTTAATAAAATCTTTGTATTGCTGAGGTAATGCGCAATGTTGGTGTGCTTTCTTTTGTTCTTATTTGTACACTTGTAACACTGCCTAGACAAAGCCATTCACTAAGAACTCAGTAACCAGGTGAGGAGAGTATTTGTCTGAGAAGCAACAAAGAGGTCAACAGTAACTCTGAAGGAGCTGCAAAGATCCACAGCTGAGATGGGAGAAACCTGGGATTTTTCTCCACCAAACCAGGGTTTATGGAAAAATAAGGAGATGAAATCCATTTGCTGGAAAAACACATCAAATCCTGTTTAGAATTTTCCATAATACATGTGGGAGGCACAACAAATACAGGGAAAAATATTCTCAGGTTGGAGAATAACATTTTGGTCCTAGCGAAAAGCTCTGGTATAAAAGCCCACAGAGGGCATCATCTCCCCCTTAGAGAAATGCTATGTTGGTGGCTTCATGTTGTCTAGAGACTTCATAGTATTCAAAGTAGAATGGATGAAGTAAAATACAGGGCAACTGTAGAGGAAAACCTGGTTCATTCTTCATCAGACCTGAAACTAGAGTAGAGCAGGGGCGGACTGACCATTTGGAAACTCGGGCACTGCCCGAGGGCCCGGGGTCAGTAGGGGGCCCCATGAGATGCCCTTGGTACCTTTTTCATAGGCTTTTTTGAGTATGGGCAAGGACACAGGGGCCCCATGGTCCCCTATTGCCCAGGGGCCCCATGAATTGTCAGTCCGCCCCTGGAGCAGAGGTTCACCTTACAGTGGTACAATAACAGCCAAATCTATTCTGGAGCGGTCCAGAGCAACCCAGTGGGGTAGTAATCATGACAAGCCTTGTGTTTCCAGCGTCACTCTAGAAATTTTATATCCCAGAATGCTCTGTAAAGATTCTCTGTAACAATTTCAACCACAGCAAAACTTTGCCCTTTCCTGCCACCTTTAATCCAAATGCCAAATCTTTGCTATGGACTGCTGCTGTCAGGACCTAGATCACTGGCTGGTTGCACAGTGGTTACCTGGATAGAGAGTTGGAATTCCAATGTCCACCAGCGAGTGTCTCCCAGCAGCCAGCAGATTCCAGTAATCAGTCCCCACTTGGCTGCTGGCTGCTGGGAGGGTATTTACTCTCTCTACTATTACACTTCGCTACAGTGTTTTGCATTTGCATTCCAACTAGATGCATGCTTGCTGTTATATCTTGAGCTTGATTCATAGTTACATAGTTAGTCTGGCTGAAAAAAGACAAAAGCCCATCCAATTCAACCATAAAAAAACCTAAAAAATGTATAATCCTACATCCACAGTTGATCTAGAGGAAGGCAACCAGCAAAGCATGGTCCAATTTGCTCCTGCAGGGGAAAAAACTCCTTCCTGATCCCCGAGGCAATCGGATATTCCCTGGGTCAACTTTATCTATAAATATTAGTATCCAGTTATATTCTGTGTATCCAATAAAGAATCCAGGCTTTTTTTTCACATCAATCCACTGAGCTGGCCAGAACCAACTCTTGAGGGAGTCTATTTCAAATTTTCACTACTCTTACTGTGAAGAAACCTTTCTGTATTTGGAGAATAAATTTATTTTCCTCCAGATGTAAAGAGCGCCCCCTTGTCCTCTGTGATGACCTCAGGGTGAATAACTCTACACTGAGTTCACTATATGAACCACTGATGTATTTATACATGGAGATCATATCCCCCCTTATGTATTATACATGGAGATCATATCCCCCCCTTTATGTATTATACATGGAGATCATATCCCCCCTTATGTATTATACATGGTGATCATATCCCCCCCTTATGTATTATACATGGAGATCATATCCCCCTTATGTATTATACATGGAGATCATATCCCCCCTTATGTATTATACTTGGAGATCATATCCCCCCTTATGTATTATACATGGAGATCATATCCCCTCATGTATTATACATGGAGATCATATCCCTCTCTTATGTATAATACATGGAGATCATATCCCCCCTTATGTATTATACATGGAGATCATATCCCCCCCCCCCTATGTATTATACATGGAGATCATATCCCCCCTTATGTATTATACATGGAGATCATATCCCCCTTATGTATTACACATGGAGATCATATCCCCCTTTATGTATTATACATGGAGATCATATCCCCCCTTATGTATTATACATGGAGATCATATCCCCCCTTATGTATTATACATGGAGATCATATCCCCCCTTATGTATTATACATGGAGATCATATCCCCCCTTATGTATTATACATGGAGATCATATCCCCCTTATGTATTACACATGGTGATCATATCCCCCCTTATGTATTATACATGGAGATCATATCCCCCCTTATGTATTATACATGGAGATCATATCCCACCTTATGTATTATACATGGAGATCATATTCCCCCTTATGTATTATACATGGTGATCATATTCCCCCTTATGTATTATACATGGAGATCATATTCCCCCCTTTATGTATTATACATGGAGATCATATCCCCCCCTTATGTATTATACATGGTGATCATATCCCCCCCTTATGTATTATACATGGTGATCATATCCCCCTTATGTATTATACATGGAGATCATATCCCCCCCTTATGTATTATACATGGAGATCATATCCCCCCTTATGTATTATACATGGAGATCATATCCCCCTTATGTATTATACATGGAGATCATATCCCCCCTTATGTATTATACATGGAGATCATATCCCCCCTTAATCTCCTCTTCTCAGTAGAGAATACATTCAGTTCCTCTAATCTTTCCTCATAGCTGATCTCCTCCATGCCTCTTATCAGTTTGGTTGCCCTTCTCTGTACTTTCTCCAGTTCCCCAATGTTCTTTTTGTGAATTGGTGCCCAAAACTGAACTGCATATTCCAGATGAGGTTTTACTCATGGTTATCTCTCTCTCTCTCTCTGGAGTCTATACCTCTCCTAATACAAAGGATTTTGCTTGCTTTAGAAACCACAACTTGGCATTGCTGCCATTATTAAGCTTGTGATCTACCAGAACCCCCAGATCCTTCTCCACCACTGACCCTCCCCAGTTGTACCCCCCCTAGTATGTATGATGCATGCCTGATCCCAGGTTTTGTACCTCCCTTCTTTGCATCTCTGGTATTGCCCTGTTTTTCTGTGTTCCCCATTTTGTATATATTGTATATAGTTATTTGCTAGTTAGGCTTTCTGTTACTTAGGTTGTTTGTTAGGTATTTTTGTCAGCTGGTTATGGTTCACTTGTGTGTTCATGTTGGCTGTGTATTTTGTTTACCAGTGTTTGGATCGGGTATTGTTTCACTGAAAATAATTCACTTAAATCATATGTAGTCTGGTCTCAGTTTCCTATGTGCAGCTACACAGATCTTGCCATCCCTACTGTCAGCTGATGCAGTTGGCATCCCAAACAGCTGAACATGGCTGTGTTGCTGGGTTAGTACACCATTCCCAAAAACCATTTTCCTCACATTTTGATTCCATACCTTCACAATCCCTGATGAAAGGGGGTGATGTTTGGTCCCCGAAAAACATTGGCTTTTGTACTAAATTTATTATTGGAAGGAACATCATTTTGGACTCAAACTTTCCATTGTGGCACTTCAATTCCAGATCCAAATATTCCTTTTATGACCCAAGGAGTATTGCCAGAAAACCATTGGCATTTAGATAAAAAGTGTCCCCTATCTCCACCTCAAAACTCCAATGTCATCTATCCACCCCCATAAAACTTTCCCATCACTTTGACCTTCCTGTTGACTAGTGAGGCCACCCATCACATCATGAGACAATAGGAAGATGTGGACAGTCAATGGGTGGGGTTATACAGTGACCATCCAGACCGAGGCCCCAAGTTCCTTTCCAGAATTGAAAATTATTAGAGTACTTTGTAAAGAAACAATATTTACAGATACACAAAGGCTTCTTATCCTGTGCTTGTCTTTGATGGTTCTCATTCATGGGTTATGGTGTGGCTAGTATTAGTCACATTGAACTAGACTTGTTCTGTATGGTTGGAGATATTTCACCACTCATCCAAGTGGCTTCCTCTGTTCAAATGAGTGCCATGAACCTACTCCAAGGTTTATACCTACATGGGTATTACCCATGTGAGTAGAAACGCTGGGTTTTATAACTGAGAATTATCATATAGAAAAAATGACTTAATCTTCTTATAGGTTAATTATAAAGAAGTTAAAAGGAAGATTCTTCTGAAGAATACTCACAGATACTGTCCTCCAGAGTCCACCAGGTACATTTCATTCACAGTCAACTGTCGGTTGGTATCATTTGTTGCGCTGCAAAAATGAAAAGCAGATGAGTCACAATTTTGTCGTCCCCAGACTTCCCACCTAAAACAGGACTCAGGGTGGTTAACACAGCATGGTGGTTAACCCTTTTAAAGGTTAAAACAGGTGGTGAAGAGGTGACATATCTCCTCCTAGCTGCCTGGCAAACATCCTATTCGGAAGGGTGGCATTGGGTGTCACAAGTCTGAAGGAGCCCGTAAAGTAAAATTACAAAGAGTTCCTGTCATTTACCATTTAAGGTACATCTGTTCTAAATAAATATGTCCAAGACTAAGCCATGTGACAGATACTAGTGTAGGTATCATGAGGTCCCTGGAAAGATGGGTATTTCAGGCAGCTTCTGAGACAAGTCAAGAAAATCATGGTAATGAGGAAGATAAAAGGTAAAAGGTATGAAAATGTGGAATCAACTTCCACAGGTTGTTTTAGCTCTGCAGTTTACTTCAAGAACAGACTAGGTGTGTTTCTAAAAGCACAAAATATATGTCAGGGTCCTGTCCATGGCAGGAGTTCTGGAAGATCTGGCATTTCTGCCAATACTCTACATGGCCGCAGAAGTACACATCAGCCTCAGTCTGGGGCCAGACAGTCTTTATAAGGAGGCTCATCACTTCCCCTGGTTGCTGGATGATCTCTAGCTCTTCGTGCCCTGTTCCTGGTTCCTGTTTCCTGTGGTTCTGACATGTGATTTCCTTTTACCGACTCGGCTTGCTCCTGGACCTGTCTACTCTGATTTACATCTGATCTGATCTCGGCTTGTCTTACGGATACTCTCTCTCTCTCTCTCTCGCTCCTCTCTTAATGACCTCGGCTATCCCATCTGACTACGACTGCTCTGATTCCCACCTGGTACCTGACCTTGGCTTGAACCGACTATCCAGTAAACATCCAAATCCCGGAAGGGCTTGCATACCACGCACAGGCGCCTCCTGTCTGCAGACCTATCTCCGTGCACCAGCTGTGCTTCTGAGTGGACCACCAACCAGCACTCCTACAGGCGACCTGTGAAACTTTGGGCCAGACTCCTGCTGTCCCACTCTCAGGGGAGTCTGGAACTTAGCCGCAAGGGAAGCCCTCTCTCCATTGGCCTCCATCACCAGGTACGTGATATATAACTGACTAAATGTTATTTATTATGATTCAGCGAATATCTGGTTGCCATAGGACAGCCATTCTCAACTAGGGTTCCATGGAACACTGGGGTTCCTCCAGAGATGGCTAGAGGTTCCTTGAGCTGTTGCTGACTGACCTCCCATTTGATGGTGCCTGCATAGATCCAGGGCCAATGCCACTTGGCAGAACCAGCTTCATGGCACCACTGTAAAGGTCTTTTCTTCCCACTGGCCACCAATGTAAGGGGCATTTTTTGCAGCTGAATTGGTTTTGCAGGGGTTCCCCAAGACCTGAAAATTATTTCAAGGGCCCCTCTGGGGTAAAAAAAAATGATAAAGGCTGCCTTAGATGATCAGGAAGACTGAGCTATGTAAGGATTGTTGATTTTTACTGGATCAACTATGGGCTAGGGTTCCAAGAATGCAGGTGTTTAAGGTGGTTCCAAAGGCAAAAGGTTTTTTATCTTAATGCATTCTACGCATTAAGGTAAAAAAGCTTATGGATGCAGCTGCACCCCCAGCCCCCCCTATACTTACCTGAGAACCATCTCGATCCAGTGATGTGCATGGGTCTCTCTCTCCTCATTGGCTCACACAGCAGCAAGAGCCATTGGCTCCTGCTGCTATCAATCACAGCCAGTCAGCCAATGAGCAGAGGGGGGGGGGGGGGGAAGAGCCATGCTCTGTGTGTGAATGGACAATGTCCATCCACAGGAATGAGGCTTGGGGAGCTAGCCTGCTCCAGTGCCCCATAGCAAGAGGCTATGGGGAGGAGCCAGGACCACCAAAAAGAAGGGGCTCAGGGCTCCTCTGTGAAAAACCATTGCACAGAGCAGGTAAGTATGACATATTTGTTATTTAAAAAAAAGACAACCTTTACAATCACTTTAATTTAAATAATTTTTGTCAATTGGTCGAAATCAATAGGCATGCATCTTCTTTCAACTTAACTATGTAACTGGCAACTTATGGTGTCTACGATTTGTCAGGCAGCTTATAGAGGACATTTTTATTTAAAACTTGACTTAAAGTGGATCTCCAACCAAAAGGGGAAGTTCCGCTTTCAGTCTCTGCCCCCCCAATCCCTATTAAGGATTGGCACCTTTGGGGAGTGAAGGGGGGAGGGAGGGGATACCAAAATTTGACAGGTACCCACTTCCGCTGCGATCTCCTACGCGATCGGAAGCGGAAGTTGTCCTCTCCCCCTTCCTCCCCGTAGTCTTCTGGGACACGTGACAGATCCCGGAAGACTACAGAGCCATTCACAAAGCGCAGCGCTTCTCGCGCATTCGCAGCGGGCACCCGGCTGTGAAGCCGCAAGCTGTGAACACACTGAAGATGCTGGTGCTGGGGAGAGAAGATGGCCGGTGAAACCAGCCGTGGTGAGGACACCGCTGGACTGAGGGACAGGTAAGTGGCTTTATTTTAAAAGTCAACAGCTACAGTTTTTGTAGCTGCTGACTTTTTTTTTTCAGGTGGAACTCCGCTTTAAGGACATGGAAACTTGACACCATAGCACTAGGAGCCCCCAGAGAAGCTGATAATTGGAACCACTATGCAATCCGGACAGGAAGGTCTAGGTGTTGCAGTCCTCTTAAGACCGGGGAATCTTGTAACTGCACAAACAATAAAAAGCAAGGCACACATATCTAGTGCATTATCTCCAGCACTTTATTGAAGCATAAAAGATATACTCACAAAACCAGTGTGATCTCTCCCCTTTTTTTTCCTCTCTCTCTCCCCTCCATTTATGCCTCTCTCATGATCTTGAAGTTTACTAGACTATGGCAGGACACGGAGGATGAGACACGCTTATTGGGGAAGAGTTCATGGTCAGAGCTTCACCTTAAAAGCTGAATCAAAGGTGGGGTTAGGACCACAAATGATTCATAGGCAAAATGTAAGGGAAATGGGGGGGGGGGGGGGGGGAGGGAGAGGAGTGGGGACGGGAGGGGGGGTGGAAGGAGGGGGTATGGGGAGGGGATAGGTAGTTTAAGACTCTGAAATAGTGGGAGAAACATCAGTCTGGAGAAATCCTAGAGATCAAAGGGGAAGATGTGGAGGAAAGAGGAAGAGAAAAGAGATGGGAAAGATAGAGGTGTGGAAAGGAGAAGAATGGAAGAGATTCACTTTGTGACTTATAATGTTAAAGGGTTATATAGCCCTGGGAAGAGATTTGGGATTTATAAAGAAATTCAACATAGATTTTCTTCAGTGGTTTTTTTACAGGAGACACATTTGGTGCAAGAATCAAACGTGAAATTAAATCCAGATATTTTCCAATGTGGTTTTATGCAGATTCCCCAATTAAATGTGCCAAAGGAGTGGCAATAGATTTTGTGAAAAATATAAGGTTTAAGCTGGAAGACAGATTAGTAGATCCGGAAGGGAGATTTCTGTTTCTGAAGGGAAAATTAAAGGAAATAGACTGTACACTAGCAAATATTTATTGCCCGAATAAGAAACCGGAGGTATTCCTAAAAAAATACTCTGAGGAAGTTAATGGATTTCAAAAAAGGCAATTTAATTGTGGCAGGTGATTTCAATCTCTGCATGGATCCCCAGATCGATATGACGTCCCCTGTGCAGAGAGATGGTAGTAGGTCTCCGAAATCCTTGAAAAAAAATGATATATCAATGTCAACTTGAAGGACAGAGATTATATGTGTTATTCTCATGCACATGAGATGTATTCAAGACTGGATTATATATTGCTGGACCATTGACTTATCGAGTCTCTGGTCAAAGTAAAAATAGAAGTGATGTCAATATCGGACCATGCCACTGTCACAATGAAATTATTATGAGGAAATGAGCAGATCGGGGGGAAATTATGGAGGTTAAATGAGACACTTCTCCAGGATTCAGAGGTGGATCAAAGAATAAAAAAAGAAATTGAGCAATTTTTTGAGGAAAATGATTCTGGGGAAGTGTCCGTAGGAGCAGTGTGGGAGGCTCATAAGGCCTATTATAGAGGAATCCTGATAGGGATTGGAGCAAAAAAGAAGAGGGAAAGAAGAGAAAAAATAAACACGCTTCTTAGTGAACTCTGTGAGTTAGAGCAGATACATAAACATAAAGTAACAAAAGAGATTATGCAGAGGGTAATAAATGAAAGAAGAATTAAATAAATTTCTGGAAGAAGATAAGAGAGTGGTGTTTAATACAATGATAAGTGAGAGATACAGATGGGGAGATAGGCCAGGAAAGTATTTAATGAGGGCTCAGAGAAAAAAAAAAATCTAGGAACTATATAGAGAAAATAAGAGACCACAAAGGAGAATTAATGTATTCAACTAAAGGTATAGCTAAAGTGTTTAAAGAATATTATAATAATCTATATAATATTATCCCCCACAGCTCCATAAGTAAAGATGAAGTAGGAAAAATAGAAAAAAAGACAGACATACTTAAAAAAGGCAGGATTGACAAAATTAAGTGAGGAGCAATTAAAATCCCTAGAATCAGTAATAATGCAGGAGGAAATACACTTAGTATTAAAGAGCACTATAGCTGGGAAAAGTCCAGAACCTGATGGATACACAGTGAGATATTATAAAAAATAAATTTAGTATCTAAACTGAGGATATATATGAATGCATTGGGAGGAGAGATGGAAATGAGGAGGGAATCCCTACAAGCCCATGTATTTCTCATACATAAGGAAGGTAAAGATGATACTCACTGTTCAAGTTACGGACCGATTTCCTTATTAAACACAGATACCAAACTATATGTGAAAGTTCTGGCAAACAGGTTGAAAGACCTAATGTCGGAATGGATACACATAGACCAAGTAGGCTTTGTCCCAGGGAGAGAGGGTAGAGATAACGGACTGAGATCTCTGTTTCTCATACAAAAAAGTAGGAAAGAGAA